TTCCCACGGGGATTCGTGGGCGCAACTGAGCGCCCAGGCTCCCTGCTGCGCCAGGCACGGGGTCCGCGGAGCGCGTTTTCCCGGCCACCAGCCGGAGGCACAGGGAAGACTGAGCTAGCAAACTGCTGCTGCCGGTCAGCTCCGGGCTACCGAGTCTCCTCTCTGGGGTAGTGGGGAGGCTGGGCGACCAGGACCACTCACCCCGTGCCACCCCTGTTCCAAGGCTGAAGAGGCTAAAAAGGTGTCCTAAGAGACCCTGGAAAGGGGCAGCGCGCAGGTTCCCGGACCACCAGACTGTTCCCCGAACTCGGCCCCTCTCCTTCGGCAGCCACTTGCGGAGTACCAGGGCAGAGCTTCTCCAGCCCCCGCGCACAGCACTTGCCCACGCGCCCAGAGAGGAGAGTCGGTGGGCTGCAAGCTGGCGAGGAGAAGGTAGCGCGCCACTGCTCTTTAGTGCATCCGTGCCTGGGATAGGAAGGGAGCGCAGCGGCGTCCACACTCCAGGAAACGGATGACCCCAGGCGCCCCTTCCTCCTGGTCACCCGGCTCTGCCCAGAGCTAAGCAGCCTGCTCTGCAATGCAGCGGGCTCCGCGCTCTCGGAGCAGAGGCTGCGGGGAACCGACAGTGCCAAAGAGTGCTGAGGTGCTGGAGCCGGGGTACTCAGCGAACCAGCTTCGGGCGCTAAGAGCCAGCCGTGGGCGCGCCGGTGGGTGCCGCCCTAGCCCCGCGCTCGCCCACGGCGGAGGCTCCTAGACCGCCTTGCCCTGGGGTCCCGGGATGCTCTCCACCCGAAGCAGTCGAGAGAAACCCCGAGAACCATGAAGCACGGCGGCCCAGAGGCGGCAGCCACCAGCCGCCAACTTGTTCCGTGGAGGGTACGTTACCTTCCATCGCAGCCACTGCGGATGCCAGGAGGAGCAGCAGCAGGCAATCCAGGGCCATCGCCAGCCGGCGGCCCCCAAGCCGAGCCCGAGCCGAGGTGGCCGCGCGGGGAGGGCGCCGCGTCCCGGGGCGCCGCTGCGCTCCCCGCGGGTGGCTTTTCCGTATCCTTTCGCGCTCTTGCGGGGACCCGGCTCCCCGGAGCGCTGCGTGGGCGTGGGCGGGAGTGTGCGCGCTTGGGGAGGTGCGGGCGCGCGTGGGTGTGGGTGTGCATGTGTGTGTGTGTGTTTATGGGAGAGGTGGGTGTGTGCGTGCGTGTGTATGAGAGACAGAGAGAGGGCGAGGGAGAGCGAGCCCGAGAGAGCGCGCGAGCGTGTGCGTCCTGGTGTCACATTGCGAGCTACAGCAGAGCCTACGAGAGGACAGAGCCGGCCAGACTGACGGGGAGGGAGCGGGATCCCCCACCATCAGCTCTCTCCCCACCCCTAACACCTCCTGTCCAATCAAGGAATCAAACCTGCAAAATTCCCCCGTCCAATCAGGCTCGAGCACCTCCTTACACTGGCATTGTTAGTTTAAGAAAAACTTTTGCTTGCAAGGCTGTGCGGGAGGGCTTGGAAGGCGCTAGGAGAGGTGTGGGCTCCCCCTCGTGGTGCTCTCGGAGAACCGCACTAGCCCTCCTCAGCTCCCCCGGCCCCGGTCGGGGCGCCTAGGGAAGGAGAGGGTTGAGGCTTCTTACCCTTACAGCCCACCCAGGACCGCATGAGCTTTAAATAATCAAATTTGTCTTTTTTCACTTTCCTAGCGACAAGCGTACCCTGGCTACTCTATTTAGTGCAGCTTCCTTGGCACATCCCAGGGCACTTCACCTTCTAGCATGAAGTGGTATTTACTAATCCACTTTGTTTATTGTAGGTCTCCTCTTACTAAAATGGAATCTCCATTCTTGGGATTCTTGTCAATTTTTTTCACCACAGAATCCCCAGTGCCCAGAATGGTGCCTGGCTCACGAAGGGTGATAGCGTATATCTGTGGAATGAACAATGCTGTCCAGAGAATCTGCAGGCTGCTGCTACGGTGCCCACAGGGTATGGCTGTGCCTCCTGTCCCAAATCCTCCCTCTGTTCCTCTTATGCTCTGTTCCGGCATAAGCCTCTAATTGCCTTTGTTGGTCACTTCCAGTGCACTCTGTGACTGTGAACGGAGGGTCCTGGCCCTAGATGGCCTCAGGTGGGAGAGACTGGGAGTCACAAAGTCAACCGTAAAGCAGCAGGAAGGCTATGTGGATGTCCCAGGGCTAGGCGAGGAGAGGTGTGCAGAGGGAGGTACTATTATTGCGGGCTGGGTCTTGGGTGTGTGTTGGAAGGACTTGTTTAGGCAGCAACGGGGGCAGGGCATTGGAGTTAGGAGCAATTCTTCCACACTCAGCTCTGACAGTTCCTCTTTCTGGAGATGGCCAGAGTGTTCCAGATCAGGAACCTACCTTGAAGTTGTCATATGTTATTCTTGAGAAGTGCCCTTCCCTCATCTCCACTCCCCACTATAGACCTGATGATGGTCTGACCCTGTAGGGTCACGGAGGACTACTAGGTCACCCACCTCCTCTCTGTTCCCACACTCACACCAGGGTGGTCACACACTTGCCCACCTATTCAACAAATATTTACTGAGTGCCTGTGGTACACCAGGTGGGCCCTGGTCTAGGCTGTGGAAACACCGTCGACATAGCCCTACTTGGAGGGAATTTACCTGTGCTGGTGCGATGGCAATAACAAAATAGGCAAGGGCATGTTAGGTGGTGAGTAAAACTCTGGAGAATAGCAGGGAGGGTGCAGTTAAAGGGTGATGAGGCGGTTAAACACAGTAGCTATAACTCCTATGTATTAAGCACCATCTGCATGCAAGCACTGTGCTGGATATATACTTGCAAAATGAGTGGAACTGAATTTCCTGCCCTCCATTTCTACCCCAAACCCACCCTTCCCAGGAAGCCTTCTGTGCTGTCCCTCTCACCGATATCCTCATGTTACATTTCTGTGTGAGTGTAGCCAGAAACCCTTTCAGATTGAGCAAAATAAAGAAAATATATCTGACCATTATCCAGCTGCAAAGCATCACACCTGGGAAGGCCCTCAGGCCCACCAAACAGAGATTCCAGGGAGAATGAAGAATTCTGCTAGGGTCTTTCAGCCTGTGCCAGGATAATTACAGGAGGATCACTAGCTAGGCCCTCTAAATTTTAAATACGTATGGATCCCTAGGCCTCGTTTATAAAGATTTAAAATCAGTGGGGATGAGATAGGCCCACAAGTGTGATTTTATCGCACCCTCCTCCCCAATTGATTCTGCTGTTCAATGAGCCTCGGAAGCTACTGTTCTTAGTCCAGGGGTTTAAAACTGCACTGAAGCCTTCGCAGGTGATACCCAGGTGGAGAAATACAGGGGTGAACAAGGGGTGGGGCTTCAGACCTCACTTCTGTTCCAACGACTTCTGCTCATTTGTTTTACTGGGCAGGTATGTCAGGTTTTATTTGAAGAAAGTGTTCTGCAGCAGGAAGAGGAGAGAGGAGACAAGGAAGGATTCCAGGAGAGGGCTAGGGGTCAGGTAGGAACACCATTGCGGAACAACACGAAAGAGGCAGCACTGCTGATTCTTAAAACATGCCAATGGCTTAGGTAAGAACATCAGTTTGGGACTGTTTGTTAATTTCTGCAATAACTCAAGGGATTGACTTTTCTTGAGCAAGTTAAATATTAATTTAGCTGTGCAGCAGATTGATTTTTCTCTTGCAGTGGGTTATAATTTGT